TGAGGTAAGAGATCAATCTGAGATTTCATAAATAAAATTTCAGTCAACAGTTTCCTTGATCTTTATTTTTCTCTGGACTATATGTAAAATTGAAAGCCAAAGTATAAAATTACAGGAAAAAATTTTCAAACATTCCTAAGCTGTTGAAATGTGCCAGGATCAGGACTTGTGTTTCTGGTTATCTTCATTTTCTATTGATTATTTACATGCATGGGACATGTATGTGTGGATTTGAATAGTTAGGCCTCAGTCATTGATCTGTTCTAAGAGCAATTGTAAGTGATGACAGGATTAGAAACCAGATTCTTTCCCAAGAAGTCAGAGTGTGGGATCATTATACCTTTCTTTTGGATTTAAAACTGAGATCAAGCTATGTTACTGATAGACCATCAAGGGTGGTGACCAGGCGTGGTGAGAGGGGAGGAAATAGGTCTCTTGGCCCCAAACTTCTTTCTCTCACTCACAGCTTCCAAGGCTTCTCAGGTTAACCCAGAGGATCTGCAACTTTGACGGATGGAGTTTCAAGTTGCTGAACTCTGGACCTGTCATTTAGAAGGAGGTGCCAATATATTGTTTCTTAGAGGAAAAGTTCCTTAACTATACAAATTAAACAAGTCATATTCAGGGGATCTGACTGTCCAGATACAGTTCATAACAGAGAACAGGATCCCAGAAAACAGGGGCATAGCATAAAAGCTTTCATAAAAGCGAGGGGGTCAGAGGAAAGGCATTGAACACATGATGCTGTGCCAGGGTGAGGCGTGCTTTGGAGTATTCTGGGCAGGCTATTGCCAAGCCCAGGCGTGGGCACTCACCAAGGACCTTTGACAATGAAGATCAGGCTTGTCCTCGTTGTTCGTCTTTATTAATGAAACCCAATTTAACAATCTAAACTCTTAATTCTAACCACTTAAACTCTTAATTCTTTAAGGCAAACCAGATTTACTTTCTGTTTATATTGAAATCTTTTCTCTAGTTTCCATAACTGGAGCTGTAGCTGATTTTTCAGTCTCTCTGTTACACACCCACCAGTGGAGAGCCTTGGCATGCAGACGCCATTAGAGTCCAGCTGGAAGGGATGGCCTGTAGAGGCAGCCCTTCACGCAGGGGGAGAAAGAAAAAAAGAGCATAAAATAGACACATAACAGCTCCCTACAAATTATTTTTATCTTATCTTCCCATCTCAGGAACCTGTAATAGCTCCATTCTACCTCACAGCCGGCCTTTCCCCACCCCCACCCCCCATAAAATAATATTGCAATTAATCTCACTGGCATCACAACCAAAGAAGAGTCTTCATTGACTTAGACACGAGGTCAGTGAGAAAGGGAATTGCCGAGGAAGTTGTGTATTTCTTTGAGTCTAGCTCACCATTGCATACTGCCAGTTACTCAGATCTCAGAAATTTTCTGTGCTCCGTGGAATTCCTCCCTGATTCTTCTGTAGATTATAACACTCCAGCTTTAGAAAATGCTGCACACTCAAATCTTAGACATCAAAGCAAAACAAAAACAAACCCTTTTCCTATCAGATTTCACACCTTTATAACGGCAGGAGTAGATGTGTCTGGAAGACTTAGATAATCTAGTCTGATGAGAGGAACTGTGGCTCAGATCCATCCTGACACACAGCCACAAGTCCCCCTGTATCCTTCGAGCCTTCCTTACTCCACTGACGCAGCCTGGGTCTCTTTCACTACCTCCGCCATCCTCATTCTCTCTCACACATACATACACTATCACATGTAGAAAAATCCATGCATACGCCGTGTATGTATCCATAATGCCAGAACCTCCATTTGAATAGGAAAATCAACCATTCAAATGTCTTCAGATATGCTTATCGACCATCTTGCAGGCACTGTGGTAACTGACCAAAGGTTTCACATCTATGGCTTATTAAAAAAAACAAAAAACACCTGATATTTGTCCTTATACTTCACATACCATCTCTATTCACTGTTACGGATAATCAGAAGATAGTCCTATTGTCTTTTACTAGTAACTCTCAGGGGCAAAAATATATGAGAATGAAATCCAGACATTATTGCCAGCTAGCATTATTTACTTTCTCCCTTATGCCAAGACAGAGAATACAGGATTTACCACTTGGAAGAGTTGGTGAAATGGGACGTGTATCCAGTGGGATGGGCCCTCTTTGCTGAGTATATGGAAAGGAGCTGTCTCTCTGGGGATTGAGTATGCAGGGTCTCCCCCACCACAGCGCCCAAATTCATGTGTCAGTGGCAGTATCATTTGGAAGCTGTAAATAAAATTTTACTGTTTCTAACGTTAATATTTCAGTTCAGTTCAGTTCAATCGCTCAGTCGTGTCCGACTCTTTGTAACCCCATGAACCGCAGCACGCCAGGCCTCCCTGTCCATCACCAACTCCCGGAGTTTACTCAAACTCATGTCCATTGAGTCAGTGATGCCATCCAGCTATCTGTCGTTCTCCTCTCCTCCTGCCCCCAATCCCTCCCAGCATCAGGGTCTTTTCAGATGAGTCAGTTCATCGCATCAGGTGGCCAAAGTATGGGAGTTTCAGCTTCAGCATCAGTCCTTTCAATGAATATTCAGGACTGATCTCCTTTAGGATGGACTGGTTGGATCTCCTTTCAGTCCAAGGGACTCTCAAGAGTCTTCTCCAACACCACAGTTCAAAAGCATCAATTCTTCAGTGCTCAGCTTTCTTTATAGTCCAACTCTCACATCCATACATGACTACTGGAAAAACCATAGCCTTGACTAGACGGACCATTGTGGAGAAAGTAATGTCTTTGCTTTTTAATATGCTGTCTAGGTTGGTCATAAATTTCTTTCCAAGCAGTAAGCGTCTTTTAATTTCATGGTTGCAGTCACCACCTGCAGTGATTTTAGAGCCCAGAAAAATAAAGTCAGTCACTGTTTCCACTGTTTCCCCATCTATTTGCCGTGAAGTGGTGGGACCAGATGCCATGATCTTAGTTTTCTGAATGTTGAGCTTTAAACCAACTTTTTCATGCTCCTCTTTCACTTTCATCAAGAGGCTCTTTAGTTCTTCTTCACTTTCTGCCATAAGGGTGGTGTCATCTGCATATCTGAGGTTATTGGTATTTCTCCCAGCAATCTTGATTCCAGCTTGTGCTTCACCCAGCCCAGCATTTCTTGTGATGTACTCTGCATATAAGTTAAATAAGCAGGGTGACAATATACAGCCTTGACGTACTCCTTTTCCTATTTGGAACCAGTCTGTTGTTCCATATCCAGTTCTAACTGTTGCTTTCTGACCTGTATACAGGTTCCTCAAGAGGCAGGTCAGATGGTTTTGGTATTCCTATCTCTTTCTGAATGTTCCACAGTTTATTGTGATCCACACAGTCAAAGGCTTTGGCATAGTCAATAAAGCAGAAATTGATGTTTTTCTGGAACTCTCTTGCTTTTTCAGTGATCCAGGGGATGTTGGCAATTTGATCTCTGGTTCCTCTGCCTTTTCTAAAAGCAGCTTGAACATCTGGAAGTTCACAGTTCACATATTGCTGAAGCCTGGCTTGGAGAATTTTGAGCGTTGCTTTACTAGCATGTGAGATGAGTGCAATTGTGCAGTAGTTTGAGCATTCTTTGGCATTACCTTTCTTTGGGATTGGAATGAAAACTGACCTTATCTTTAATAACAGATAATAGTGTATGGATTCTTATTTGAGTGGTGATAGAGTTAAGGTTACATATTGCCAAGCTCAACAGAAGGTAATGGATCTGAATTTATGCTTTATTTAAGACCTAAGCCTAAAAGAAAATGGTGGGGAGAAATAATTTTTGCAAGTTAACCTTGAATGTTTCAAATCTAGATACACTCTTGGTTTTTCTAGCTTTGAGGTAAGCTATTTTGTTTCACTTATTTATTTATTTTGGTGTGATCTTAGTTCCCCAACCAAGAACTGAACCTATGCCCTCTACATTGGAAGCATGGAGTCTTAACCACTGGATCATTAGGGAAGTTCCCTAGATACACTATTTGTAGCAAAAGTCAGAGAACATAAGAAAGAGCTTCAGTGGTTCTTGATTGACAAAAAGCACATAGTAAGTAAATCTTGATTGACAAAACATTCAAGTTGACAGTATATTGATATCTTGATCTGTCTAGCTGCTAATTTCTGCACCAATCTGTCCGTTGTAAGTCATTTGTGCTCAATTTCAGAAAGAGATTGAAACTATAAAAGACTTACGGTCTATCTGCTTTAATAATGGCAAAAGATTTAGACCAGATGAGAAGGTAATGCCACAGCTAGATATTAAGAATAAAGATCTTCTCGTAGTGGCCACTTCTCAAAGAAGATTGAACACCGAAGTCTTAAAACCTAAAGAACTTTAGGAAACAATGGGCAGTTTTAAGAGTGCCTCTGAGACTAGAGATCATGAATTTATAGTCATTAAAAATATGATAAAGGTATATATGTGTAGATCCAGAAGGATATTTCTATACTGATAAGTGAAAATGCAAGTTTTAAAACCATTATGTGTTTCTTATGTTTTAATCTGGAAGCATTTCTCCTGTTTCTTCCTAGAGTGTCTTGGTGTAGTTACATACATGCAGGAAAGACTCAGTGTTTGCTATATTGAGATTAAAAGACACTGAAGCAGGAGAGATGATGATGACAGTGCTCTGTTAAAATAGGTACACTTTTCCTCTTCTCACTGTTTTTTGTATCTCATTCTTTTACATAGTAAGGAACACAGATTAGGTGCATACCCGTCTGATTTTGTCATTTTCTGCGTCAGTACAGTATGAATTAAAGATTTTATGTTGTCATCTGGAGTTACTATAACAAGCTTTTAGACCATATCTAAGACAAGTGCTTAGCTTGAAAGTTTTTTTATATTCTAAATAGGTATTTATGATTATGGTGAAATGAAATTGTTTACTATATTGGAAGAGAGCATAAAAATAACACATTGAGAAATCAATTTTGAAAGTTAATCTTTTTTTTTTCTTCTTGGTAGGGCTTATTCCACTAGAAGCAAGATGGCCGAACTCAATACTCATGTGAATGTCAAGGAAAAGGTAAGATATAATTATATATTGGTTTGCAGAAACTCCAAACTGGATAATGTAGTCTCTAGCTAGTAAAAACTCAATTATAATGGAACAAGAGGAAGATGGTTTGGGGGCTGCGGGGGGGGAGGGCATTGGTGAGGGATACATAATAAGTCTGACACAGGAGAAAACCATTCCACACAGTCATAAGTAGAATTTAATGAATGTGTGTTACGCCTATTACATTCATTTCCTCATTTAGTCTTGACTGTAACCCCATGTAGTCATTTTCATTTTACGGAGGAGGGAATTGAGACACGGAGAAGGTAAGTGCTTTGCCTGAGTTCACATAGCTAGTAAGCAACAGAGCTGGGATTTGAAGCCAGCAGTGCCATTCTACAACTGATACTCTTACCCACCACGCTGGGTTCCATCTAAAAGCAAGGGTGTTATGTTCCATCTCCAAAAACAGCCTCACAGACTTATCCAAAGCGTTACCTAGTGGTCATGCTGGGTCGCCTTTACAGTTTCTTTCAACACAGCGTTCAAGAGTCTGAAAATCCCCCCTCCTCATTATTTGTTGGAGGCTGATGGTATCTCAGAGTCCTTCCAAATCTTGTCCTCCTCTGTGACTTCCCTCCACTTCAGGTCACAACCCCTCACCAGCCATGTGTGCTGCCTTGCACTGTTAGCTCTTAAAAGATCATCAACTGTGGATCATCGGAAATTATGGAGATCAGTTTGTCCAAACCACTCATCTGCACTAGGGGAAATGAGGCCCTCCGGGAGGTTTGTCCCTGGTTGCCCAGCAAAGTGAAGGAGCCTCCTCGGGAACTCCCTCCAGCTTTCTACATGGCCGGCTGCCTCCCACCTAGGCTGTGAACTGCTTGGGGCCAGGAGTTTGTCTTTCATCTCTTTGTATCCTTCTAGTACCTCAAATACTGAATGAACAATGAGAGAAGTAGCATTGCTGGAATCCTTAGTAATTTTGCCTCCATTTAGCTGAGAAGTGTCAGACGCCTACTTTGTCCTCTACACTGTTCTAGATGCCTCGGTGTGGCACTGAACATGTAGATGAGGTCCTGCTCCCATGGAGCTTGCTTTTTAGGGCAGGGAAACAGAGAGTAAACACAAGAACAAGTAAATGAATGCGATCGTTTCAGATAATGATGTTACGATGAGAAAAACACAGCAGGGTGGCACAAGTAGGTATATACTTAGTTGGGCTTGGTCAGGGCCCTCTCAGAGCAGCTGATGCAAGCTGAGATAAAGAAAACAGGAGAGGAACACCATGCAGTGACCCAAGGGCAGAGTGTTCCAGGGAGAAAAGCGAAAGCAGCTGCCTGAGGAGGACGAAAGTTCGTCGTGTTCGAAGAGCAAGTGGGCAAGTGGCCGGTTAGCCACAGCGCAGTGGGCAGAGGAATGGTGATGGGAGGCAAGATCAGAGAGCAGGGCACGAACCGGCATTGGTAGAATTCTGGCTCTTCACCTGTGTGTCCCTCAAGCCCCACAGCATCCGTGAGTGGAAGCCAGGGGTCCATGGAGCTGGACGGGGAAAGACGAATTTTCATCTTTACTCATATCTGGATGAAGTTTAGCATTTCCTTCGATCATGAATGTAGGCAAGGGAGAAAAACCACCCATAGGAGTAGCTGGAGTACCTGTGACTTTCACAACTAAAAATCGCACATATCTTCATATCAAATGACATTTGTTATGGATATCCTGAAGTGCTATTTGTTCATCTCCGTTGCAAAATTGGAGCTTCCCCAGTGGCTTGGCAGTAAAGAACCTGCCTGAGACAAGGGTTCCATCCTCGGGTCAGGAAGATCCCCCGGAGAAGGGCACGGCAACCCACTCCAGGAATACCTGCCTGGAGAATCCCACGGACAGAGGAGGCTCGTGGGCTACAGTCTGTAGGGTTGCGAAGAGTCGGCCACGACCGAAGCGACTTAGCACGCACTGTAGAATTACTGAAGCTACAGAACTTGCCACCCTATTATGTTATTTGATGTTGACAGAGAAGCACATATATATTACTGTAGCGTAAATTTTTTTATTAATGTCAGCATTATTTCAATATGAGTGATTTACTCTGTAATCCTATGTACTTTAGTTAAATATTATTTTGAGAAGGACCCCCAAGGCTTTACCAGACTGTTATAGGAGTTCTGTGTCCCCCCAAATTTAGAACCTGACATAGAAACATGTAGGGTTTTATTAAAAGGGCCATAGTAGCTACTGGGCGGAATTCAGCAGGAACATGAGCTGACACGGTGTGTTTCTAAAAGCTCCCCCGGCTTTGTCGGCTCTGCTTAGCTCTTCAGTCCCTCAGTCGTGTCAGACTTTGTGACCCCACGGACTGCAGCACCAGGCCTCCCTGTCCTTCACCATCCCCCAGAGCTTGCGAAAACTCATGTCCATCGAGTCGGTGATGCCATCCAACCGTCTCATCCTCTGTTGTCCCCTTCTCCTCCTGCATTCAATCCTTCCCAGCACCAGAAAAAGTTATTTAACATGAAGATCTATAAACAAGTACTACTTGTTTGATGAAGATACAAAGGCTTGAGACAAAGTGATTTGGTCAAAGTCAGACTTTCAGGGAATGTGAAAGAGCAAGGATTTAAACTCAGCTCTGTCTGGTTCTGGTTCTTCCTCGTGCTCTTTCCTCTATATTACCGCTTCCCGGAGTTTTCCACCAAAATAACCCCAGAGCACAGAAGAACAAACCTCCTGCTTGGGGACATGCTCAAAACAAACTTCCACAGAGAATTTCCTTGGGGTCTTCTGTGTTATCTTAAAAGTGGGTGCAAATTTTTTATCTATTGTATTCCATAATATATTCCTTATATTTTATTAATACAGAACTGTGTTCACTTATTGACCACTGAGTGAATAGTGGCAGAAGTCTGTGTCCTTTTATATTGTGGCTTCATATTCTCCGTGACTCACAGTCATACCCTCAGGCAAGAGTGTGTTCCCGGTTGGAGAAGCTTGAGTTTGGCACCACAGTGCTGACCAAATATTGGCCCCTTTTCAAATGTCTATTGATGGATAGGATGAACAGCTCTTAAAGTTGGGTTATAAGAAGGAAAAGCACTTTAAAGAATCAGTCATAATAATTGATTCCCTACAAAACATGGCCAGTGGACAGACCAATATGGTAGGCTCAGCAGTTAGAGTGTCTTATTCAAAATAGAGGTAGTGTCGAGCCAAAATGTGGACGGAGGCTGATCCATCATCTCACAGACCACAGAGGTTCAGTGTGAATGCTCCATGCACTGGCTTAGGTGCCCATTCATCTGCTTGTCCTGCCCAGCGTCACATGTGTGTGTGAAGATTAACAGTAGATGGTGTTTTTGCTGTTGCATTTCAGTAACTTATCAAAGTGCTGGCATTATTTTGAAAGAGGGTGATGTTTAAGTTGTAAATATTATCCATCTGCATGACAATGAAAGTAGAGCTCTTCTAACTCAGTAAATTCCATCTTCCCATATCAAAAGGTTAATAGATTTCTTAGCTCAATAAAATAAATCATAATAAACAACTGAAAATTCTGATCATTTTTAATTTCACATTGATTTATTTTTGCACTTTTATTTCCTTTAGTTATTAGCTTTTATGGCCTTTTTATGATTAGTTTGTTTCCCAATCTGTCACACAGCAGTGACATTTCAGTTCTGAAGATTAAGAATAATAACAACTGTTATGTCTTACATTATAAATTATAAGCTCTTAGGAGATGTGAGAACAAATCTGTGTGGTGTGTTTATACACTATCTAGTCAAGCACTGTGGGAAGTTAAATACTTAGTTAAAGTCTTGCAGTGAGATGAGTTCCTCACTTATCTCTGGTGGGTCCACTCTTGGATGAATTGGAAAGGAAGAGGTGAGAGCATCATTTCCATCCTCATGCAGCTTTTAATCCAAAGACATAACTTCAGGTCTCATGTCCAAGACAACTGACATTTGCAATTGACAATCTTTGTGACTCTTTTAAAGTATTTTTACATTATTGCATTATGACTGAAAGGATTTAAATTGGAAATATTCTTTTTAAAAAACTATTTATTTCTTTATTCATTTTATTGTGGGCTGTGTTGGGTCTTAGGTGTGCCCGCGGGCTCCGTAGTTGTGGAGCTTAACCCCTTGACATGTGGGATCTTAGTCCTGGGGGATCCTGTCCTCTGCAACGGAAGGTGCATTCTTAACCGCTGGACCACCAGGGAAGTTCCGGAAGTGTTCTTGCAGTCAGAGGTTAATCTCCTTAGTGTGACATGCACGGCCGTGTGAGCTGGCCCTGTCTGCTTTGCCACCTGGGTCTGTAGCCGCTGCCCCACTCCCGCCTCAGTGCAGCTGTCATGACCATGAAATTTTCTGCCTCCAGGCCTTTGCAAAGATAGTTTCCTCTCTCTGGGATGTCCTCTCCAGGGGCCCTCGCTCACTACCCTTTAGGAGTCCTGTCAGGTGCCTCCTTTCTCTGCCTTCCTGCCCCTCAGGAATTACTGGTCCTTCCACTGCTCTCCTCTGTGCCTCAGTGGGGTTCTCTGCCTTCACCCCTGTCCCGTGATGGTTAGTGGTCTGTCTTCCCAAGTGAGACTGTGTGCTGCTTGGGGGCAGGCTCGGGGCCTTTCTTGTCTTCATATTCTTGGTTTTGGCACATAGCTGACCCCAGCATGCGTTAAATAAATGAATGGATGACAAATGAATGAACCTGCCTGCTTGAATTGTTCGCGTTCTTTATAGATAAATTTCCCACTCACAATATTTTGCAAAACCTCAAGCGTTCTTGAAAATTGAAATGTAGGTTAATGGAAATGTCATCTCATTTTAGTACTCTCTTTTTTATTAAATAAAGCAAGTTTTAAATCACTTCTAAAAACAAGCTTAGGTTACTTAGGTTGACGCCCTGTGGTTCTGTAGAGAAAACAGCATCTTTATGAGACAGTTATCAAATACAGGTGGTCTCAGGTAGGTTTCAGTGATAACAAATGAGGTCCTTTGGTGAGTAACCAGTCTTATCTCACT